ACGCACAGAAATGAGCGAAAAAAGAAGCGAAAGTACAAAGAAGAAGGAGATTCATTGCTTATTCCGTACATGTGTCGGCGGAGACCTAACATAACCCAGGCAGCTGCCGCACTTTTCGGGGAGAAGCAAGGGGTCCTTTTTTTTTCGCACACAAACAGAAAAAAAGAGAAAAAAGGAAAAAAAATGTAAGACTTTTGCAACAAAGCCGTACTGTGTTGCACCGTGTGAATGCTTGGTATTCCGATATACCCGTGTGAGGCTTTGATGTTGTTCTATACACGGGAGGACTATGAGAGGAATGGTACTTTCATCAGTTGTAAACTTGAGCTACTTTCCGGCGATTAGTCTTGAGTCCGGGGACTTTGCTCGCGTGTTAGTAGGTTTGTAAAGTCTGATTCGTGGAAAGAATGCTGACAGAACCACATTATATGTTAATAAGACATATAGCATATTCAATAATAACGCAGAATGAAACAATCAATAATAGAAATAAAGAAATAAAGAAGCATACCAGAAATATATTACATTGTATAAAAAAAAGAACATGCGGATTCACAGGAGCTTCATCAAGGAAATTCCAAGTCGTAAACGGCCAATAACAAGAATTCACAGGAATTACTTGCTGGCCATTCGAAGGACGTCCAGTGTGAAAGGAGCTTACTCGACAAAGAGGTAAGTTTTGAAGTCATTCCCAAGTGTAATCGGATACGGCAATTGTTTAGGAGGAGCAGTGCTGGAATAGGACGACGACGCTCCGTTATAAAGTGTGTGTGTGTATATATATGTATATATATATTAATATATATATATTATATATATATATATATATATATATATATATATATATATTTATATATATTATTTACTAAGTAAATCTGTGTGTGTGTGTGTATGTGTGTGTGTGTGTGTGTGTGTGTGTGTGTGTGTGTGTGTGTGTGTGTGTGTGTGTGTGTGTGTGTGTGTGTGTGTGTGTGTGTGTGTGTGTGTGTGTGTGGTTGTGTGGTGTGTTTATTGATGCACAAATAAACCATACAACACACACTCCTGGCATTCATAAAACTTATGTGTACCTACAAGTTTACCTTTCTCGGAGTATGGGAAATTACATTAATTATTTCTCATTACTGTACCATTTCTGTTTTGTGAAACTTTGTCTTTCTGTTTATGTTTGATGTGTTCTTTGCTAATTACAAAGACGACCCACAGCTCACGCCTTATAAGGGCTGTGCGGACCTATCCCTTTCTCTCGTCCTCGCTCCTCCTCCCTTCTTATTTCTATCTCTTCTCCGTCTCCCTCTTTCTTTTTCTTCTTTCCTTCTCACTCTTCACCGCTTCATCCTTCCCTCTTTTCCATTTATATTTTTAATTATTCTCCCACTTTTCTCTATTCCCTTATTTCTTTAATTTTTCATCTTTCTCTCATTCATGTATCCTCTATTCTCCTCCATCGCACACTTTCTCCCTCTGTCCCTTTCTACTTCTCTTTTTTTCCTCTCTGTTTATATTCTCTTCCCTCTCGCTCTGCCTCTGCTTCTTCGTGTTTTCTCCTTTTCTCCCTTCCTCTTCTATTCCAATGCAGTTCCCCCCTTTGCTTTTTTCTTCCTTTATTTCTTTCTCATTCAACTTTCTTCACTCCTCCTTATTCCTTCTATTTCTTTCTTGTTCTCTCCTCTCCTTCTTCCTCTTTCTTTCTCCCACTTCTTTCCTCCTTCCTTCTCTCCTCCTTCTTCCTTCTCTCTTATTTCTTATTTCTTTCTTTCTTTTTCTCTCCTCTCCCTCTCCTTCTCTCCCTATTATTTTCTTCTCCTTCATTTCCTCCTTCCTCCTCTTCTTCCTTCTCTCCTCATTTTTCTCTTCTCCCTTTCTCATCTCCTCCTCTTCCCTCTTTTTTCCTCTTCATTCTCTCCTCCTTCTTCCTTCTCTTTCTTTGTTCTCTCCTTTTTTCTTCTTTTCTCCCTCTCCCTTCTCCCTCTTCCTGTCCCTCCTCTTTTCTCCTTTCCTTCCTCCTCCTTCTGCCTATCCTTGCCATTTCCACCTCTTTCCTCCTTCAATTTTCTCTCTCTCTTCCTCTCTCCTCCTGCATTTTCTTCTCTCCTCTGTTTCCTCCTGCAATTTTCTCGCTTCCTCCTCTTTTCCTCCTGCAATTTTTCTCTCTTCCTCTGTTTCCTCCTGCAATTTTCTCTCTCTTCCTGTCTTTCTCTGCCTTCAAGTTTTCTCTCTCCTTTTCCTCTGTTTCCTCCTGCAATTTGTTCCTCTCTTCCTCTCTTTCTCCTCCTTTCAGTTTTTCTCTTCATTGCCCTCTGTTTTTCTTATTCGTCCTCCCTCTTTTCTCTCTTCCTTCTGTTTTTCTTCCTTCAATTGTCTCTCGTTTCCTCTCTCTCCTCCTGAATAGCCCTTTCTTCCTTCCAAGTTCCGTCCGAACGGTGGAACTTTCTTATACCCGAAGAGAGTGCTGTTTTGCGCATGTGAATTGCCTTGCCTGGCTGACTCACGAGAGGGACCAAGGCAGCACGCAAGGCACCCCCGAGCTCCTGCCCCAGTACCTACCACCCCCGCTCCAAAGCATCTTTAAAATCAAAAAAACCCCACGTGTGCCCCAGATGGGGCTTCTCTCCCCCTCTCATCTCCCTCTCCCGCGCCTCTGTTCGGAATCAGGTCGTATAAGACCTCCATCGAGGAGCCCCACTTTCTCCGTCGCCGCTCTGTCGTTTCTGAGCCTCCAGCGATTGTACATGTCTCACCGCCCGCTCTCCCTCGCAATACCAGTGGTCCTCATCCGAGTCTGTACGCTCCG